GGGTGGCGTCTCGCCCCGGTGGATAACAGGCCACACGCGCTCTGACACTATACACACAGAAGCCGTCTGGGTGGGCTGATCCCCTTGACCAGCTCCTCAGGATGAACTTGTTGGAATAGTCAGGGACCAAGGTCATTACGCTGGCCCAGGGAGCAGCACTAGACAGGGCCAGCTCTGAGGGCAACAGAGAGCGTTCATGCATTTGTAATTCACACCCAGAACGCTGTGAAGGATGCTTTAAAGTCAAGTTCAGATAAAACAAATATCTTCCTAGGGTCTAGGGTCATTACTATAAAGACAAAAGACTTGATTAGAACTGTGTTAGTAGAAATGGCAGATTCAAGGACGGAAGTCGGGGAGGCGGGGGATTTGACAATGAGAAAGTTCTTCCACTCCAGGTAAAAACTGCTGCCACCAAGAATGGTGAGGGGCAAGGGGACAAAGGTTCTGCTTTGGCCCCACTTCGGAATCGCCTGAGGAGCTCCAAAAACGCCCCCCAAGCCCAGGCCACACCCCTGATGAAAGGAACCAGGAAGGAGAGATTTACTGCAATTAAACCTTCCAGTTTAGCCTGGTGCCGCCTGAGGGTTTAAGCACAACGTGAAACCCAGAGCGGGTGACAGCCATGAACAATGACATGAGAAGGGGGTCAGGGGGCTGGTGGTAAAGTCCTGGTTCCATCCCTGATCAAAAACACAATGAGAGGCCAGTGGCAGGTGTCCCTCGGGCACCGTCATCCTGCAGCAACCTGCGGCCGGGCCGTCAGATCGCGTGGGGTGGTGGGGACCACACCTGAGCGGGTATTGGAGGACGACAACCACACACATCAGCACAGGCAACATGGCTTCCAAGGGCCCCATGGGAGTCTGCTCCTGGGTTGTGTGGGAGAAGCTTTCCAGGCAGAGGGGGGCCTGAGCAAAGCCCCTAAAAGGGCAGGTCCGGCAGAGTTGGGGGGGCAGGGGGACAACGGTTCAGAGTGGCCTTCGCAGGCATCTGGGGCTCTAGGCCATGCCTTCTACTCCGAGAGAAATGGGAAACATGGGGAGATTTTGAGCAGAGGGAGCGCGCGCTCTGACCTGGCTTAGAGGTGACTGTGGGGTGTTCGGTTTGGGTTCCATTTAGAGACTGTCAGAAGATTTATCTGAAACCTGCAAAGAGGCAAACATGTTCTCCCAGGGCACTGCTGGGCTTGGCTTTCCACTGGCGGGTCCCTCGGCTGGGGTGGCTGTCACTTGTGCCTTTTGTCTGGTGGATCCGATATCCTGAAAGGTCCCCACGTTGAGGGCCCTGTTGGATCCGTCACCCAGCAAACTCATCCTTACATTTGTCAAACTGTCCACATATACCTTCGGATCGGTTCTAATGCCCCACTGGTTCTCTTATTAATGAGTGAAATAAAACCTTGGGTGCACGTTCGTTTGCTTTCCCTGAGAAGCTGACGTGGAGCGGGTGGGTGGGCGGTGCGGAGTGTGAACCAGGAGTTCTGAGGACAGGGCAGGGCTGCGTTCCAAGCGGGGAGAAAGACGTCAGGGCCCGGGTGGTGTGCCCAGCCAGCCGTGAGACGGGCCTGCACGATCGCATTTCATGTCCACAACCGCCCACGCAAGCAAACCCTTGTTTATTAATATTCACCTCCTTTTTGTCCACGAGGAAACGGAAGCAGCAGCACGACCAGAACGAGGATTTGAACGCAGGCGGCTGGCTTGAGGGCCTTGGCTCCCAACCAGTGGTCCTCAAGCTGGGGCCCCGGGCAATGACTGGAGACACCTGTGATTGTCACAGCTCGGGGGCTGGGGAGGGTGGGCGCTACTGGCCCCAATGGGTGGAGGCCAAGGGCCCCGCTAACCACTGTACGATGCATAGGATGCCCTCACAGCAAGAACCATCGGCCCCAAATGCTGATACCTCTCTAGGGCAAGGCCTGTGGCCTCCAGCCCAGCCCAGCCCCCACGCCTCCGCTTCTTCATGGCCCCGCTCCCGCCTGCGATGACACACGTGCTTGTAACGATCTGCTCAAGGTCCAACCCCCTCTGCCTCGCAACCCCCACGCTTCGTTCGCCACTACGTTCTCGGTCTAATGGCTGGCAAACAATAAATGCGCAATACATGCCCACTCACAGCGCACAGCTTCTGACCTGTCTGTGCCCCCCTGTGAGATGTCTCTGACAGAGAAGGAGCATGACAAAGTGTGACCTTTATGTGTCACAGGTTCCTACAGTGTTGTGGAGAAGCGTTTCTGCGTCTAGCTTAGCAAATGAGGGCGAGCAGGACCCTGAAGCCAGCGCCCGCGCTCCCAGCTCTGATGGAGGCTAATTTTTCATTGTCCTTGAAGCTAATCAAGCCTGCGGAAACAGCATCAACCAAATTGACTAAACGAGATTTTCAATTAACTCAGACAGATGGCTGAAATTTTCCAGGTGACTTTCCACATTAATTCAGCGAGTTTGCTGGACCAGGCCCCGGGAGGCTTGGCAGGGATGGGGGCCGAGGGAAAACAACGGAATCTGTGCGTCGTCAGGAGAGAAGGCAGAGCAGTCATCTGAACGTTTCCTCTATCCCAGCAAATATATTGCCAGGCAAATGAATGTGACTCCCCCGACCAGCGCACGTGAAGGGGCCTGCTCCCCAAGGCGGGGCCGTAAGAGCGTCAGGCCCCGGGGGGCCCGGCTGCAAGAGGGGTTACATCAGTCCAGGGCCAAAGGGAGAGGCAGTGGGGAGCCCTTTAGAGAGCACTGGTCTGTCCCCCTGAGGACCTTACAGCATACTTCGCTGAAGAAGGAAGGGTTGAAAACCCTCCAGAGAATTCCACAGAGGCCTCAGGCTTATGGGATGTGGCAGAGGGTCTGACCACGAAAGCCACGGCAGGAGAAGACCACGCCAGTCTCAGCAGGCCTGTGGGCCCACATCCAGCTGAGCTGGGCCCTGGAGGAGCCAGAGTGGCTGGCCATGGCCCCTGCCTTTCCGGAAGCTGCCGGAAGCTACAAATAATGTGGGGTTTCTGTAATTGGACAGTAAGGAGCCAGGCGCGAGTTCTGTCCAAATTCGTGTGGGGAATTTGCTGAGTCTCAGAAGGAGTCATTTTTGGCTAACGTGGGCCCACTGATAAGCTTACAGGGATCTATAAATGAGCGGACCCTGTGACCAATCCAGCTCCCTCCCCTTTTTTTCTTCTGCATCTCCCATCGGTGTTCTCCACAGAGAGGTTTAACGATGGCTTAAGTGGGCTCTGGAAGTTAATCCGTCCTTGGCTGCTTGAACTTTGGGACAAAATGAAACTGATATTCAGACCCCTTTACTTTGATAGATCCTGCTCAGTTATTTGGATTTAAAAGGAAAATCCACCTCAACCAGATGTTAATAATAACAGGCCAGTTACCTGGGTCAGTACGTTCCACCAACTACACGCTTATTACCTTCCATCTGGGAGATCTGGCTCATGGAGCAGGACTCACTATTCAGTTCCTGCAGCCAGCGGAGTGCTGCAAGGCTCTAAAAGAATGCTCTCAAAACGGACGTCATGGACAGAAAGGCTGATGATAAGGGGTTTTCTTGGAAAGATGGCATCAGTTCATCGAATGGGTGCTGGGCAGTGCGCCCCCAGCTGGAGACACACGGTTGACCCGATGGCCCCCTTCTGGGGGGTGGGGGGAGGGCCCAGCTGGCCAGGATGTGCTCCTGACATAGGTAAGAAATAGTAATGCCAGCATGACTGGTGTTCTTTCCCCAGACAACCGACTCCCAAAAGCAGTAAGGAAAACTTCAGATAACGTGCCTTTTTCTTGGAATGTTTAAACTACCAGTATAATACATCTGAGCCTGAAGGGACCAGGTACATGAACAGGCGTCTAATTATTATTACGTTTTTACATAACTCAGGGAAGGAAGCAAACCTCATTCGGGGGTCATCCGGCGGCATCATCTCCAGGTCATGGGTGGGTCCATTTAAGCCGATGACGTGCAGGGAAATACTGGGGTTCTCACATCCAGCCTGGGAAACACAAAAGGACAGAGGCGTGAGTACGCCAGCTGCTGCCTGGACGGCGCCTGAGCCCTGCGAGCTCTGGCCCAGGAGAGCCGCAGGCGGGACTCCGCGAACCCAGGAGCTCAGCGCCAAGGAGCAAACTTGCGGAGGGCGGAGGGCGGGTCGACCTGCGTGGGACGTTAGGACAAGAGATCCGTGGACCGATTGCGTCTCTGCCCCAAGCAGCCCGCTTCCCTCTCACTCCTCCCAACCCCCCTCGCCTGTCACGGCCAGGCAAGCACCACTCCACTCGCTCAAGTACCCGGGAGCGGGAAAGAAACCAAACAAGCAGAGGCTGAAACTTGTCATCATCACTACACTTGGCTTAACCGCATTCCCAGCCATCACCCTGGGCCCTTCCCCAGGATTTTACTGAATAACACGCTGAAACAGGAGTGAAAAATTCCGTCACAAGGCAAATCCACGTCACGTGTAGACACCTAGATCTCAGAAGGGGAGACGGGCAAATGGCTGTGGCCTCTGAGGACTCCAGCTCCTCCATTCTGGGACCGCCGTGGATATCGCCACACTGATCAAGGAGCTACAGAAAACGGGTTCAATACCAGCTGTTATGGGCTGAGTGCCTGTGTCCCTCCCAAATTCATAGGTGGAAGCCCCAACCCCCC